AAAAGTGGAGATGAAGTGTTAAAATCTGCAGAGAAGTTGGGTAAGGATTTAACAGCAAGGTAGTCAACTAGTGACCTTGGCTAGGATAGTTTCAGTGGATATGCTAGGACAGAGTCTGACTACAGAGAGTAGATTGAAGAATGAAAGAAAGGTGAGGAGTTAGAGACCTCTGTAATTGCCTTTTTACTTATATGGCTCCTCCTCCAGTCTGCCAACTCTTTGAAGGTAGGGAACATGTCTCTTTTGTTTTTCTCCAACCTTTAGCATTTACTCAAAGTCTGACATATGGTTGATAGTATTTTGGACTGGTGGAGACAGAAAATGGCTAGAGGGTAATGCAAGAATAGTTCTAAGTGCTTTTAAAAAATATATGAATAAAAATAAAATATAAAAATTTATTATTAGTGGTTATTTCTGTTTAATGGGCTAAGGGTTATTTTACTATTTTATTTATTTTAACTACATATTTTATTTTAAATTAATACTCTTTATTTTTTTAAATTTCATTTTTAAAGATTTTTTTCATTCATTTGACACAGAGAGAGAGAGAGCACAAGCAGGGAGAGTGGGAGAGGGAGAAATAGACTCCCCGCTGAGCAGGGAGCCTGACGTGGGATTCAACCCCAGGACCCTGGGATCACCACCTGAGCTGAAGGCAGATGCCTAACCGACTGAGACACCCAGGTGCCTAATACTTTTTTTTTTTTTTAAGATTTTATTTATTTATTTGACAGAGAGATCACAAGCAAGCAGAGAGGCAGGCAGAGAGAGAGGAGGAAGCAGGCTCCCTGCTGAGTAGAGAGTCCGATGCGGAGCTGGATCCCAGGACCTGAGATCATGACCTGAGCTGAAGGCAGAGGCTTAACCCACTGAGCCACCCAGGTGCCCTGCCTAATACTCTTTTTTTAGAGCAGTATTAGGTTTAGAGAAAAATTAAGCAGAAGTACAGGAAGTTCCCATATACTCTCTCTCCCTCCTTTCTACCCTGGTTTCCTCTATTAACAAACATCTCACATTAGTGTAGTACATTTATTACAATCGCTGATCCAATATTGATACGTTATTATGAACTAAAGTTTGTAGTTTACACTAGAATTCATTCTGCATTATACAGTTCTATGGGTTTTGAAACACGCATATTTTAATGAATCCACCATGACAGCATCACACAGAATAATTGCACTGCCCTAAAAATCTCGTGTGCTCCACTGCTTCATCTCTCTCTCCACCTCTCCCCAAACCCCTGGCAACAACTGATCTTTTTACTGTCTTTACTGTTTTGCCTTTTCCAGAATGTCATATAGTTGGAATCATACAGTATATGCCTTTTCAGATTGGCTTCTTTCATTTAGCAATATGCTAAGTGAAAATTTAAAGTTCTTCCCTGGGGCACCTGGGTGGCTCAGTCATTAGGCATCTGCCTTTGGCTCAGGTTGACAGTTCCAGGGTCCTGGGATTGTGCTGCACTGGGCTCCCTGCTCAGCAGGAGGCCTGCTTCTCCCTCTCCCACTCATCCTGCTTGTGTTCGCTTTCTCCCCCTGCTTGTGTTCTCCCACTCCCCCTGCTTGTGTCTCTCTCTGTCAAATAAATAAATGAATAAAATCTTAAAAAAAAAAAAAGTTCTTCCCTGGGGGACCTGGGTGGCTCAGTTAGTTAAGTGTCTGCCCTCGGCTCTGTCATGATCTCAGGGTCCTGGGATCAGCTCTGCATTGTGTCCCCTGCTCAGTGGAGAGTCTGTTTCTCCCTCTCCCTCCACCTGCTTGTGCTCTCTCTCTAATAAATAAATATAATCTTTATTAAAAAAAGTTCTTCCGTGTGTGTGTGTATGTGGCTTGACAGCTCATTTCTTTTTACTGTTGCATGACATTCCATTGTATGGATGTACTAAGCATTATTTTATTTTATTTTTTAAAAGATATTTATTTATTTGACAGACAGAGATCACAAGTAGGCAGAGAGGCAGGCGGGGGTGGCGGGGTGGGGGAAGCAGGCTCCCCACTGAGCAGAGAGCCCGATGTGGGGCTTGATCCCAGGACCCTGATCCCAAGACCCAGAGACCATGACCTGAGCTGAAGGCAGAGGCTTTAACCCACTGAGCCACTCGGGCGCCCCAGCATTTTTTTAAAGAAAGGGAAAACTTGAGTTGAGGGGAAAGAATCACATTAAGGAGATAACTTTCAGATACTAAGAAAGAGAGAGCTTAGGACTGACTGAGGTTCCTGAAGAAGTGGGAAGGATATGGGAAAAAAAGAATTCTCATATACTTTGGTGGGATTATTAATTGTTGCAATCTATCTGGAGAGCAATATGGCAATATTAAATGCATTAAAAATGTGGCCACCCTTTGACCAGCTTGCATTCCCTACAAACTACAACTTTATTTATATTGCCAAGGTCATTACCAGAGTGCCTGGAAGAGGATTGAAAGCAGAAGAAAGAAGAAAGAAGAAAGAAGACTGAGCAGAGAGCCCGATGTGAGGCTCGATCCCAGGACCCTGGGATCATGACCTGAGCCGAAGGCAGAGGCTTTAACCACTGAGCCACCCAGGCGCCCCTGGAATACCATATCTTAAACCTCTGTGCTGTTGGCAGAAGAAGCTACAAAGAGAAGCCTGAGAGAAGATGTCAAAGACTTCTTAGAAGGAAGAGATATGGCAGAAACTGATCTTGCATAGGATACTAAACGAGGTTTAACACGCTGACAGATCCTTAATTCATTCAACAAATAATTTAGCAGTCTGCATTGAAGTTATTTCTTACTTACCGCTTGTGTTTTTGTTTTTGTTTTTTTTTTTCTATTGTGGTGGTCAAATCCTGACTGTTGCTTGTTTTTATATGAGCCATTTGCTGATTCCTGTCTTAGAGGGCCCGGAGCTGTGTTTTTGTAAGAGTTTTTGAATCTTGGGGCACCTGGGTGGCTCAGTCGATTAAGGGTCTGCCTTTAGCTTGGGTCATAATCCCAGAGTCCTGGGATGTAGCCCCTTCTTGGGCTCTGTACTCAGTGGGGAGTCGGCTTCTCCCTTCCCTCTGTCCCTCCCCCTGCTTGTGCTCTCTCAAATAAATAAATAAAATCTTTTTTAAAAAAAGAGGTTTTGAATCTTGACTTCTGAGTATAAGCTTCACTCTTACAAGTTTCTCATCTGTGGTTAACAGATTGTAGTGTAGTCAGGCTCCATTATGTGTGTCTGTAAAGGTGGGTAGCAGGACGCACGTCAAAATATCTGAAACAGTTTTATGACCCACTTTGGAGCCAGCCTGTGGAAATGCTCTCTGAGAAGATACCCCAATTCATGTGTTCTGGAAGGTTAAAAGATAAGTTTTTCAAACTAGCCCATAGAAAATACTGGGAACCTGTATAGGACATAAGAACTGTCCTATGTTGGATACTCCACCAACTTTTTTTAAAACCTGAAATATAATGTATAGATCATAAAATTCATACTTTTTAAAGTATACAAATCAGTGGTTAAAAAAATTACACTCATACAGTTGTGCATCTTTTACTATCTAATTCCAGAACATTTTTGTCACTCCCAAAGGAAATCCTGTACCCATTAGCTGTCATTCCCATTCTCTTTTCCCCCAGCCCTTGGCAACCACTAATCTACTTGTTTCTGTAGATTTGTTTATTCTGGATATTTCATATATATGAAATTATACATTATGTGGCCTTTTGTGACTAGCTTCTTTCACTTAACATAATGTTTTCAAGGTTCATCTGCATGTATCAGTATGTTGTTCCTTTTTGGGACTGAATAATATTTGTTGTTTAGATATACCACATTATATTTATCTATTCATCCATGCCATTCATGATGGACATTTGGGTTGTTGCTACTTTTTCACAATTATAGATAATGCTGCTATAAACTATGTGTACAAGTTTTTGTGTGGATGTTTATTTTCATTTCTTGTGGGAATATACCTAGGAGTGAAATTGCTGGGTCATATGATAATTCTACCCTTAACTTTTTCAGGAACTGCCAAACTGTTTTCTAAAATGACTACATCATGGGGTGCCTGGGTGGCTTAGTCCATGAGAATGACTGCATCATTTCACATTTCCATCGGCAATGTATGAAGGTTACAATTTCTCTATACCTTGCCATTACTTATTATTATCTGATCATCTAGCTGTCCTGGTGGTGTGAAGTAGCATCTTGAGGTTTTTGATTTGCATTTTCCTAAAAGTTAATGAAACTAAGTATCTTTTCATGTGCTTATTGACTATCTGTTCTCTGACTTCTGATTATGTGTTAATGTGGGTCAAACCAAAGTGGCTTAATAAAAGAGCATTTTCCTCAATCTATTTCCTCTTAAAAAAATTTTTTTTTCTGATCTGCCCCTCTCCCATCCCATCTCTTTCTTATTCCCTCAACCCTTTATATACTAGGTTTATGAGTAGAAATCTTGGAGAATATAGATTTGGTTTTCCTTTCCAGTGCCAGAAGGCTGGAGCCATTCTCTTTCAGATCCATCTCAAATACTAGAGGATGGAAGGATGGTGGGATAGGCAAGGGGGAAGGTACCCCTGGGGAGTCTAATCGTGTGATAACAGAGAATGGTAACAAACAATAGTCCCCTAAATAGCCCAAGCCTGGCTCCTTTTCCTCTATACCTTCAAAGCTGCCATGGCTGGTGAGGTAGCGCCTCCTGTACCAGCAGGCCCAATTCTGAAGTAAATTCTAGGTCTGACCATGGTACCTCCTGAGCCAGAAATCACAGAGAGAACCATTTTGATTGTAGTAAGTGTCCCCACAGATACAATTCTCATCATGCCTTTGTGCCATCTAACTTCTTGACACAGAAGTTGGCAATGTAGTCGTTAGGATCGTTAGGAATGCCATACAATGAAGTAGTCTTTATTCTTCCATCAATTAAAGAGACACAGATACTAAAATACATCCATAGAGAAACACACGGACACAATATATGTGGATGCATAATCCATGTACAAAGAACCACCCATAGATTCCCTCCCCTGAGACCTAAACACTTACATCTAAATGTTCCATGGTCACTTCTCTGAGGGATCTACAGGATGGATGGAGCAGCTGACAGAGAATGGTGTCTGCACCCTTGCAGAATAACATTACTCGATCTTCAGGTGTCCTCACTAAGGGCAAACAAAAGAGTAACCATATAGGCCCATTGTTACAAGAACTTGTCTGGGCCACTGAGGGATAGCATGAGGCTGTTCCCATGACATTTGTTTCTGATTCTTTTGGGGGATAAGCACTCATTGAGTGGTTACAGAGGATAAATGTTGCAGTCAGTAAAGGCTGGTGGGAGTGGAAAGAGACCTTATGCAACCAGTTCTTCTATGGGTTCAATGTCATCTTGGAAGACTCTGATGCAGAATCACATTTAGCTTCCCAAGTACAAGTTCCAGACCGAGGCCCATACCTAGTAAGGACCAAGAATGAAGAATGACCCTCTTCCTCTTCAGTCTGAGGCTCAAACTATTTGAGAGTATGATAGTATGAATTTCCCTTATATTGTCTCCCCCTATCTCTTATGGGTTTATTCTTTATTCTTATCTTGGCTTTGAGGTTTCAGACAGGCCACTATCCAGGAACACTAAAGAGGTATATGGTAGCAAGCTCTCAAAGAGAAAATATATAGGATATGTGAAGGAGAAAGTAGGAATGGCTATGTGTTTGTGTTTGAGGCATGGTACCTTTAAGAAGGCATTTGAGTAGGAGAAAACATTTGTGTGTATATAAAAGAGAAAGTCAATGTGTGAATGTGTATAAAAGACAAATATAGGGAGAGGACTGAGTAGGAGGGGCACCTACCAATAACAGACATCCTCTTGCGCACATTGCTGAAGTCCAAAATAGCCAGCAGTTGGTAGACTTTGGTCTCACCCATTTCAACTACCATGATCGTCTCAGATGTGCGGGAACGGAATACAAAGCCAAAGTTCCTGGCAGCAGTGACGAGGGCACCTTCATCTGGGGACTGAGCCTGGTACACCAGCTTACCTGGCAGGAGAGAAGAGGGCAACCAGAGCCCACAGAGATGTGCAGCTGAAGTCAACCCAGAAGTGACACCAAGCGGCTTATGTAAAGATAGAGCCCAGGAGGGAACATTTTTCTTCAAACTTCCTTACAAGTTTAGCTCTAAAAAGCTAGGCTGCATACAGGTCAGTTTTTTTTCCCCTTTCCAATATTTTCAATTTATTTCACAGACTTGAGTTAGTATTATAGAGGCACATGGTACATGCAATATACATGAACAAACAAAACATAGTTCACTCTCTGATTTTAGTGGGTAAAGATGGGTCAGGGGGCTTGTTAAAAATGCAGGTTCCTGGGGCGCCTGGGTGGCTCAGTGGGTTAAAGCCTCTGCCTTTGGCTCTGGTCATGATCCCAGAGTCCTGGGATCGAGCCCCACATCTGGCTCTCTGCTCAGCAGGGAGGCTGCTTCCTCCTCTCTCTCTCTCTCTGCCTGCCTCTCTGCCTACTTGTGATCTCTGTCAAATAAATAAATAAAAATCTAAAAAAAAAAAAAAGAAGAAGAAGAAAAAAAGCAGGTTCCTGGGCTCTACTCAAACTTACTGAATCCAGAGTCACAAAATATGAGAGGAGGACTCAGGAAATTGAATTTTTAACAAATCTCCTAGGTGAATTTCATGCAGGTTGTTCTGTATACACTGCTCCTACGTAAGACTGGCTATACCTTGATAAGATAGGTCTATAAGGATAGGATATATAGAACAGGATAATAAGACTGATGATTTAATAAACAATTTATATATATATACATGTATATATATATATAAATGAGTATTGTCACCTTTAAAACTCTCACCCTGGGAAGCTTAATGATTCACTCTGCTGAACCAGTCTGTTAATCTTATATGACTCAAGACATTTCTGTAACTCCTCTTGAATATTTTTTAAAAGATTTTATTTATTTGACAGAGAGAGATACAGTGAGAGAGGGAATACAAGCAGGAAGAGTGGGAGACAGAGAAGCAGGCTTCCGTCTGGGCAGGAAGCCCAACACGGGGCTCAATCCCAGGATCCTTGGATCATGACCTGAGCTGAAGGCAGACGCTTAACAACTGAGGCACCCAGGCGCCCCACTCCTCTTGAAATTTTTTACAGCGGAGTAAAATAAAATTTATTCTTTCCCATTTTGCCATTGTAAGGTAATTTCTCTCATGGTTTTCAGTATCCATTGTTGAAAAAATATTTTCCTAGATTGTGAAGAAACACTTCAGAAAATTAATAACAAAATGCTTGAGGGGTGCCGAGGTGGCTCAGTGGGTTAAGCCTCTGCCTTTGGCTCAGGTCATGATCTCAGGGTCCTGGGATCGAGCCCCGCATTGGGCTCCCGGCTCTGAAGAGCCTGCTTCTCCCTCTTTTTTTGCCCCTCACCCTGCTTTTTTGTCCATCCACTCTCTCTCAAATAAATAAAATCTTTAAAAAAACACCCCAAACTGTTGAATTCAATCCTCAGTTGTGACAGGTATTATTTTTTTCTCATCACAAACTACTGTATTCTAATAACTGGTTCAAATTATTTTGGTCATAAAGAAAACCGAACAAAAACTGCACTGATGAATGCAAACACTATAGCACTGAAAAATGCTTAACTCCTCTTTTAAAATATTACCACAACCTAAGGTATATTTTGGATTATTTCTCTTCTGAAGGTCAATTTGATTTTTTTATTGTGTTATGTCAACTTGATTTTTAAGATTTTATTTATTTATTTGACACAGAGAAAGAGATCACAAGTAGGCAGAGAGGCAGGCAGAGGGAGAGGGGAAGCAGGCTCCCTGCTGAGCAGAGAGCCTGATGTGGGGCTCAATCCCAGGACCCTGGGATCATGACCTGAGCCAAAGGCAGAGGCTTAACTCATTGAGCCACCCAGGTGCCCCCAACTTGATTTTTAAAAACAGTTATGTATCATCAGAGTCTTATACTTGTGAATAAGGCACATGGGACATATAATTTTAGGTCAGATATAAGATGTATCTCTGGGACAGTAAGACTATTGTCTTGTTTCCTACCTCGTCACTTAAGGCAATAAATAAAGACATGCTTCAAGTAATAGCAACTTGGTAGAATGTCAGGTCTGGAGACACCTGTGGTGGGGCAAGATCTCATGGCATGAGATTTGGGTTCTTTTTTTTTTTTTTTAATTGTTGTTTTTATTTTTAAATTTTTGTGGTGGGCAGCAAAGCAAAGTTTATTGAGAGTACAAAGCTCCTGAAGAGGGAGGGAACCCGAGAGGGTTGCCTGGGATTTGGGTTCTTTTTTTTTTTTTTTTTTTTTTTAAGAATTTATTTATTTGACACAGAGAGAGACAGTGAGAGAGGGAACAGGGAGAGTAGGAGAGGGAGAAGCAGGCCTCCTGCAGAACAGGGAGCCCCATGCGGGGCTCGATGTGGGGCTCCATCCCAGGACCCTGGGATCATGACCTGAGCTGAAAGCTGATGCTTAAGGACTTAGCCACCCAGGCACCCCTGAGATTTGGGTTCTTACCTCTGCCTTCTTAACTACAGGATTTTAGGCAAGTCATTTAATCTCTTTTAGCTCCAGTTTCCCTCTCTATAAAACTGGGTTCCTTTTTCTTTTTCTGCTTACGTAAGAGGACTGTTGTGAAGATTGTGGGAGATAATATTAATGCAAACAATTTGGGGCACCTGGGTGGCTCAGTCAGTTAAGTGGCTGTCTTTGGCTCTATTTGTGATCTTGGGGTCTTGGGATGGAGCCTTGTGTCTGGCTTCCCTGCTCAACAGGGAATCTGCTTCTCCTTCTCCCTCTGACTCTCCCCCCTGCTCAAGCTCTCACTCTCTCTCTCTCAAACGAATACATTTTTAAAAATCTTTAAAAAACATGCAAGCAATTTGTAAAACTATAAAGTGATACACAAATATAAGGTGGTCCTAAGGGTAGTAGTATGTTAAAGGTACATTGATTTTATTTATCTATTTAGTTTTTAAAGATTTTATTTATTTGACAGAGAGAGACATAGTGAGAGAGGGAACACAAGCAGGAGGAGTGGGAGAGGAAGCAGCAGGCTTCCCATGAATTAGGGAGCCTGATGTGGGGCTCGATCCCAGGACCCTGGGATCATGACCTGAGCTAAAGGCAGATGCTTAATGACTGAGCCACCCAGGCACCCCAGGTACATTGATTTTAAAGGATATGATTGATTTGGTTACCTAAATACTTGTTTGTTACAAAAAAAAAAAGCCTTCTCATTTTTTTAAATTTTAAGTAGTCTCCATGTCCAGGGTAGAACCCAGTGTGGGGCCTGAACCCACAACCTGAGATCAATACTGGAGCCGAGACCAAGGTCAGATGCTCAACCGACTGAGCCTCCCAAACGCTCCAAAAGCCTTCTTAATTTTTAATCAGTCATTTCTCATTCATTGTTTCTAAAAGAGGTTTAAGTAAATTCATGGATGTCATAGTCATATTTGATTACTAAAGAAACTAGGATATGTGGGGATACTGTGAAATTGTGAAGCAACAAGACAACTCAACTCCTCTTTCAGGAAGTCTTGTCAGAGATAATGGGACTGATCTTGGGGACAATTCAGGTAGACTCTGTGACAGAACACCGCTGAAAATCAAGGTCAGAAGCATCAAGTTTGAACTCTATACAATAACTGAATCTTCTATATGACTAAGAGGTTGTCTTCTACTTGAATATCTCCAGTGACTAGAAGCTCACTAATTGCCTATCCATCCCATTGCTGGACAACACTCCCTATTAGAAAGCTCTTAGATTAAGCCATTACAAATGATATCAAACCAAGCCCACCTGTAGCCATCCTAGATTCTATGACATATTCTCTATCAATGAGTCCTCAGGCCCCTCCTCACCTTCCACTTTCTCTTCTGACATCACAGTGTGACACAATGAGAGAGAGAGGAAAAACAAGTGCACCCAGTGATCTCCCTTTTTCATGGCTTCCACCAAAGTATTGTCATAAAATGAAAACTTAGGATCAGCCAGTTTGTTGTAGGAGAAGTCGACCTTTTCTGTTTCCTAGAACATATAAGCCAGAACAAACTTCTCAGTGGCAGCCTGACACTTTACAGAAGGTCTGTTTGGGGACAACTTCTGGAATGGGATGAGAACTCTTAGCAGGAGGATGGGAAGAGAAAATCAAGATAAATAGAGGAGACTCTGTGCTGGTTTCTAAGGCCTTTCTAGCTCTGACTTGGACCATCCATTCCCTTGGGCCAGAAAAGATCCATCCCACAGGAGAAAAACCGAGGGCTGGTTGGCAGACCCTTCTTGTCCCCTTTCTTCCCCAGCTACCCTGAATGATCAATGGCCATCTTCAGGCTCTATTCTTCCAAGTCCCAAATCCATGGTAATCAAACCTGAGGAAATGGGGGTGGGTAACTGCTCCATAACAGTAAATGGTATCTGGAAAAATTTTGTCTCTGGATGCCCTCTGTCTGATTTTGGGGGCTGGGAAGGGAACTTAGCCCTAAGTACAGTGATATCACTGTGTTGCACTACTTCTATCTAACCACACAGGTGGCTAGAGAGAAGGAGCAGGGAGAGAGGGAAAGCAGACTCCCTGCTGAGTAGAGAGCCCAACTCAGGGCTTGATCTCGGGACTCTGGGATCATGACCTGAGCCAAAGGCAGATGCTTAACTGACTGAACTACCCAGGTGCTGTTTCCTATATACCATCTAGAAGGAGTTTTGTCACAGCAGTGAGGAAGTATGGTCAGGTCCAGAACCAAGCCCCAGTCCTGGCCAACCACAGAACTGTGAGCTCTGGGAAGTTTGTGGGTTCAGTAATTTAAGATAATTCACTATGTAGCATCTCCTGAGGCTTTTCTAGAACTGGGATCTTACACCGGCACACTCTTTGAAACTGGAAGCTGGTGAGTGATGAGAGAAAAGTTGGAGGGTAGGCATGAGGTAGATCCTGCATTACCATCTTATATGCAATAGGGAGTCGTAGCAATTTTTTTTCTGGAAATGATATAATTAGATTTGTGTCAGAGAAAGTCCTCTGGTAGCAGCAGGAGAATATACTGGAACTAAGAAGATGTGAAGCAGGGAGACCAGTTAGGAGGCCATTGAGTAATTCACAAGAGAAGTGATGTAGTAACAATAAATATTAAATTAAGAGGATAGTTTGAAAATATAGGGAGCTAGAACTGATACATGATATGAGGGGTGACAGAGGGAAAGAGTTAAAAATAATTTTATATTTCCTAATTGGGCCCCTGAATAGATGAAAAGACCATTCACTGAGATAGGATACCTGTCAGGAGGATATTTTTTACAGTCTGAATTGGAGATACTTGAAGGATTTACAGGTAGTAACGAAAGCAGGCATATATAGTTTGAAGCTTAGGTTGAGATCTAAGCTAGTTTCTAATCCCCCCTTCCAGACGAGTAATGTTGGAGAACATTAGACCTGGCTGGATACAGGAGTGATACAGGGCAGTCTTGGAGCTGCAGTACATCATGATCTGAGAGGCAGAATTCATGGAAAATTCTGAAACTGTAAGCCAAAGAACCAGTTAAATAAGGTGGAAAGGCAAATCCAGGTATTACACACAAGAATGGAAACTGGGATATCAGGTGAGAGGAAGGGGATTCAGAATGGAGGGTAGAGGTAGTAACCGAGTAAACTCCTTAAGACACTATGACATAGCTATAGAGAGTTTCTATAAAATATATTTAGTCATGGCCATGGGTAGGAGGGAGCAACAAAGGATTCCTTAGATAGATGGATTTGGAGGTCATCAATAAGTAGGTGGTAGTTAAAGCCATGTAAATACATGAGATTATTCAGGGAAACTATACAGATGGGGAAGAGGTTCAATAAGAGAGCCTTGGAGAACATCAGCCCCGATGGCCAAGTTGATGAGGAAAAGCAATTAGACAGGAAGAAAAAACAAGAAGAGAGTTATTTAACAGAAGCCAATAGACAGGAACTTTAAGAAAAAGTGGAGATGAAGTGTTAAAATCTGCAGAGAAGTTGGGTAAGGATTTAACAGCAAGGTAGTCAACTAGTGACCTTGGCTAGGATAGTTTCAGTGGATATGCTAGGACAGAGTCTGACTACAGAGAGTAGATTGAAGAATGAAAGAAAGGTGAGGAGTTAGAGACCTCTGTAATTGCCTTTTTACTTATATGGCTCCTCCTCCAGTCTGCCAACTCTTTGAAGGTAGGGAACATGTCTCTTTTGTTTTTCTCCAACCTTTAGCATTTACTCAAAGTCTGACATATGGTTGATAGTATTTTGGACTGGTGGAGACAGAAAATGGCTAGAGGGTAATGCAAGAATAGTTCTAAGTGCTTTTAAAAAATATATGAATAAAAATAAAATATAAAAATTTATTATTAGTGGTTATTTCTGTTTAATGGGCTAAGGGTTATTTTACTATTTTATTTATTTTAACTACATATTTTATTTTAAATTAATACTCTTTATTTTTTTAAATTTCATTTTTAAAGATTTTTTTCATTCATTTGACACAGAGAGAGAGAGAGCACAAGCAGGGAGAGTGGGAGAGGGAGAAATAGACTCCCCGCTGAGCAGGGAGCCTGACGTGGGATTCAACCCCAGGACCCTGGGATCACCACCTGAGCTGAAGGCAGATGCCTAACCGACTGAGACACCCAGGTGCCTAATACTTTTTTTTTTTTTTAAGATTTTATTTATTTATTTGACAGAGAGATCACAAGCAAGCAGAGAGGCAGGCAGAGAGAGAGGAGGAAGCAGGCTCCCTGCTGAGTAGAGAGTCCGATGCGGAGCTGGATCCCAGGACCTGAGATCATGACCTGAGCTGAAGGCAGAGGCTTAACCCACTGAGCCACCCAGGTGCCCTGCCTAATACTCTTTTTTTAGAGCAGTATTAGGTTTAGAGAAAAATTAAGCAGAAGTACAGGAAGTTCCCATATACTCTCTCTCCCTCCTTTCTACCCTGGTTTCCTCTATTAACAAACATCTCACATTAGTGTAGTACATTTATTACAATCGCTGATCCAATATTGATACGTTATTATGAACTAAAGTTTGTAGTTTACACTAGAATTCATTCTGCATTATACAGTTCTATGGGTTTTGAAACACGCATATTTTAATGAATCCACCATGACAGCATCACACAGAATAATTGCACTGCCCTAAAAATCTCGTGTGCTCCACTGCTTCATCTCTCTCTCCACCTCTCCCCAAACCCCTGGCAACAACTGATCTTTTTACTGTCTTTACTGTTTTGCCTTTTCCAGAATGTCATATAGTTGGAATCATACAGTATATGCCTTTTCAGATTGGCTTCTTTCATTTAGCAATATGCTAAGTGAAAATTTAAAGTTCTTCCCTGGGGCACCTGGGTGGCTCAGTCATTAGGCATCTGCCTTTGGCTCAGGTTGACAGTTCCAGGGTCCTGGGATTGTGCTGCACTGGGCTCCCTGCTCAGCAGGAGGCCTGCTTCTCCCTCTCCCACTCATCCTGCTTGTGTTCGCTTTCTCCCCCTGCTTGTGTTCTCCCACTCCCCCTGCTTGTGTCTCTCTCTGTCAAATAAATAAATGAATAAAATCTTAAAAAAAAAAAAAGTTCTTCCCTGGGGGACCTGGGTGGCTCAGTTAGTTAAGTGTCTGCCCTCGGCTCTGTCATGATCTCAGGGTCCTGGGATCAGCTCTGCATTGTGTCCCCTGCTCAGTGGAGAGTCTGTTTCTCCCTCTCCCTCCACCTGCTTGTGCTCTCTCTCTAATAAATAAATATAATCTTTATTAAAAAAAGTTCTTCCGTGTGTGTGTGTATGTGGCTTGACAGCTCATTTCTTTTTACTGTTGCATGACATTCCATTGTATGGATGTACTAAGCATTATTTTATTTTATTTTTTAAAAGATATTTATTTATTTGACAGACAGAGATCACAAGTAGGCAGAGAGGCAGGCGGGGGTGGCGGGGTGGGGGAAGCAGGCTCCCCACTGAGCAGAGAGCCCGATGTGGGGCTTGATCCCAGGACCCTGATCCCAAGACCCAGAGACCATGACCTGAGCTGAAGGCAGAGGCTTTAACCCACTGAGCCACTCGGGCGCCCCAGCATTTTTTTAAAGAAAGGGAAAACTTGAGTTGAGGGGAAAGAATCACATTAAGGAGATAACTTTCAGATACTAAGAAAGAGAGAGCTTAGGACTGACTGAGGTTCCTGAAGAAGTGGGAAGGATATGGGAAAAAAAGAATTCTCATATACTTTGGTGGGATTATTAATTGTTGCAATCTATCTGGAGAGCAATATGGCAATATTAAATGCATTAAAAATGTGGCCACCCTTTGACCAGCTTGCATTCCCTACAAACTACAACTTTATTTATATTGCCAAGGTCATTACCAGAGTGCCTGGAAGAGGATTGAAAGCAGAAGAAAGAAGAAAGAAGAAAGAAGAAAGAAGAAGAAGAAGAAGAAGAAGAAGAAGAAGAAGAAGAAGAAGAAGAAGGGGAAGAAGAAGAAGAAGGGGAAGAAGAAGAAGAGGAAGAAGAAGAAGAAGAGGAAGAAGAAGAACAAGAAGAGGAAGAAGAAGGAGGAGGAGGAGGAGAAAGAGGAGGAGGAGGAGGAAGAAGAAGAAGAGGAAGAGGAAGAAGAACAAGAACAAGAAGGAGAGGAAGAGGAAGAAGAAGAACAAGAAGAAGAAGAAGATGGAGGAGGAGGAGAAGGAGGAGGGGGAGGAGAAAGATGTTCTTTCCCATTCCCAATATTTTTGGAGAGATATGAATGAGGCAGTAGTTGGGAGCTGGAGTTAGCTATTTGGTACATAAGTCAAGTGGCTAAGGGTTTGGAACTGGTTCTAGAAGGAAAGGGACAGGGTAAGGAGTACCATGAAGGTAAAAGAGAAAGCCCTATGAAGGGATGCTTAAAATCAAATCCACAAACATAAACTGAGATTTAATACTTGAGAAAATAGTCAAAATGAACCAGCTAGAAATAGGAAGAATGAATAGGAAGATATTTTTATAATTGTGTGAGTTAGGACTATTAAGTATATCACAAATCCTAAAACTATAAAGGAAAAAGACTGACAGACTTGGTCACACACATTAGAAACTTCTACACAGAAAAAAATGATAAACAAAACCCAAAAGACAAAAATGGGGAAAGTAACTATAATGTATGTGCCAAAGGAAGAGTTGGTGTTTTTACTATATAGAGTGCTTTCAAATAAGAAAAAAAGGGCAAAGAGTATGAACAGGCGACTCATAAAATATTATAAATAGGAAATAAAGTGGGAAGGGGAAGGAAAATAAGCACATAAAAATGATTCAATCTGATTAGTAATCAGAGGAAGATAAACTACATGAGATGTCATTTTTTACCAATTAAATTTCTAAAGATTAAAAGATGATTAATACCCAGTACTGATATGGATATGGGAAGAAAAGAATTCTCAGATACTTTGGTGAGATTATAAATTGATGCAATCTATCTAGAGAACAATATGGCAATATTAATGCATTAAAAATGTGGCTACACTTTGGCCAGCCAATTTCAATTCTAGGACTTTATTCTAAAGAAATAATTATCAGAAGAAGAGACTAGAATGTATGTACCAAGCTGCTTACCCCAATATTATTTATAATAGCAAAATAAAATGGAATACAAATAGGGTGTTGTTTAAATAAATTAAGGTACACCAATACTATTGGATATGCGACTCATTCAAAATGATGATGCAGACCTAAATTTACTGACATGGAAACAAGACTACAATATACATCAAGTGCATAAAAAGGAGGGTGAAAATAGCACACATGCTATAATGTTTCTTCTTCCCTTCCTTTTCTTTCTTTCCTTCCTTATTTTCTTTCTTCTCCTTCCTTCCTTCCTCCCATCCATCCATTCATATGTCTATCATTAGATCTCGATGTATATGTGTGTGCATATACACACATGAAAAATATCTGAAAGAGTATACCTCTAAATTTTACACTGGTTTTCTATAAGGGATTGAGTGACTTTAACTTTCTTCTTCATACATTTCTGTATAGTTTGGACTTTTTTTAATAGTGAGCATAGATTGTTTTTTAAACAGAAAGAAACAAAGGTATTTTCATTTTAAAACACAGATTTCAAAAAAGAATTAATCAACAAATGGGAATTTGAACTATAAAATATGAATATTTAAAATGCAAGGAATTCTTGGGATGCCTGGGTGGCTCAGTCAGGTAAGTGTCTGCCTTCAGCTCAGGTCATGATCCTGGAGTCCTGGGTTCGAGTCCTGCATCAGGCTCCTTGCTCAGCAGGGAGCCTGCTTCTTCCTCTGCCCCCTGCTTGGGTTCTCTCTCTTTCTTTGACAAATAAAATCTTAAAAAACAAAACAAAACACAAACCCAAATCCCCTCAAATAAACATAGGCCATTTGTACAATGCTCTCTGATATTATGGGGCCAATAAAAGCTTTACTATTTCAGGAGCTAAGGGACTCCCAATTTGTGTCAACAATGTCACTATGCAGCACAGCCTTAGCTCCCACATGCATTTCACAGGGAGCTGCAATCACTCACCTCAGAGACTTTTACCTTCTGTCCATTCTTGTCATAGCCACAACCTGTTGGTAAGGAAACAGAGCAGAGACTTGGCAAGGGTTTTATTTTATTTATATATTTTTATTTATTTGACAGAGAGAGAGAGACTCACTGTCTCGAGAGAGGGAACACAAGCAGGGTGAGTGGGAGAGGGAGAAACAGGCCCCCTGCAGAGCAGGGAGCCCGATGTGAGACTCAATCCCAGGACCCTGGGATCATGACCTGAGCTGAAGTCAGATGCACTTACTGAGCCACCCAGGTGCCCCTTGGCAAGGGTTTTATTTTTTTTTTATTTTTTTTTTAAAGATTTTATTTATTTATTTGACAGACAGAGATCACAAGTAGGCAGAGAGGCAGTCAGAGAGAGAGGAAGGGAAGCAGGCTCCCTGCTGAGCAGAGAGCCCGATGCGGGACTCGATCCCAGGACCCTGAGATCATGACCTGAGCCGAAGGCAGCGGCTTAACCCACTGAGCCACCCAGGCGCCCTTGGCAAGGGTTTTAAAGAAAGGTTTAAATTGTTTTGTTGTGGTAAAATACATGTAACATAAAATGTTAACTATTATTTAGTGTACAATTTAGTGGCATTCATTATGTTCCTTTGATAGCTTCTCTCAAGCCTGCTTATTGGTCTGAAGTAGAACCAGGAGATTAGCGGCTTCATCAACATGCTGGTTTCTCCGTCTGATTTAGTATGAGTGAACTGACATTCTCAAGACATCAGGAATACCTTGAGGACAGAGATTAAGTCTTGTACATGTTGGTATTTCCAATTTCCAACACAATGGTTTACCTCTATAAGGTGTTAAATAAATGCTTTTTGGTAAGCAGGTAAATGGAGTCGGGGATCTTTACCTAGCAAATAGGGAAGGCTGAGGATTAAGAGGTAAATGTGAATTTCAGAGGCATATAGATTTAGAGGGAGATTACTCTTGGAAAGTATTTTGCAAGGTAGAATTTCCCTAGGACTCAGGGAAAGCAGGAAGGCATGCATACCATAGATTATCCCATTAATAGAACACTTATTGAAAATCATGATGTTCTGAGTCAGGGTTCCGGTTTTGTCGGAGAACACATATTTGACCTGGCCAAGTTCCTCATTAAGGGTGGTGGTGCGAGCCTGTGCTGGTGTGTTCTTTGGTGCATAATACATCTTCCGATCCCAGTTGATATAGCAACTGTTGCCCAATCTTATTATCTCAACACTGAAGAAAGCAAGAAAAGAAGGATCCTGGGTCAGAAGAGATCAAATACATCATCCTGGTTTCCTTCTTAACAGTCCTATGATAGGTCAGGGTGAGGACCTGAAAATCAGAGTATCTTCCTTGGGAACCTACCAGGGATTTTGAAGGACTCTTCCCACCAGCCAACCCAATGTAATTCTGATTTTGACCATTATTATTCAGGGCTTTACCACATGAGACATACTTAATTTTGCTGAGGCATAACCCCTTTTCATTCTTTCTTCTTCCAAAACATACCCAGGAAAAGTCAAATATTTTGAATTTCTGCAGTAATGCAAAGCCTGACAGAATTAAGAACTAACTACTAAAAGGCTGCCTAGGTTAAATTAGAGGATTACTGTAACTGTCATGTAAATCCATGGTGAAGAAGAGAGAGAAACTTGAAACACTCAGAAACTTCTTTGTACATAAGAAGGGAAGGATGTCGGAAAATTAGAAACAGCTGATTATAGAAGCTGACCTGATAAATTTCCAGGCAGACCCAATCTGCCTGTGGGGTAGCTTCTCCCTCACCGCCAACCCCAATAGTGTCCTCCTTACTTTATCTGAATTTTCCCTATTGCCTTTGTCACATTCCTCTTCTATTCCAAGTAAGGTACATTATAGATTCTTTATGGTTAACAAGCATCTTCATTTAAAAACAGTTAAGATTTTTTTTTAAATTTTATTTATTTATTTGACAGAGAGAGATCACAAGCAGGCAGAGAGGCAGGCAGAGAGAGAGGAGGAAGCAGGCTCCCTGCTGAGCAGAGAGCCCGACGCGGGGCTCGATCCCAGGACCCCGAGATCATGACCTGAGCCGAAGGCAGCGGCTTAACCCACTGAGCCACCCAGGTGCCCCAAAAAACAGTTAAGATTTTTAAGGGGCCTCCTTCCTATCATCATTATGCTTAATGCGTGTTAGTTTCGATTGCTTCTAAGAGATAGCTGCATTGAGCAATGTGGATTTTTTTTTATTTCAGGTGAGGTGGGAGGGTTCTAGCCCGCATTATTGACTACTAGACCTCATGCACTGACTCTTGATCCCTCCCTTCCTTGCCGTACTAACCAACACAGCAATTTCTCTAAACCCAAACATTTGATCAGATTATTTCTATCCTTAGAAAGATCTTTCTGGCTTTTAGGATAAAATCCAGACTACTGGGACGCCTGGGTGGCTCAGTTGGTTGGACGACTGCCTTCAGCTCAGGTCATGATCCTGGAGTCCCGGGATCGAGTCCCGCATCAGGCTCCCGGCTACACGGGGAGTCTGCTTCTCTCTCTGACCTTCTCCTCGCTCCTGCTCTCTCTCAAATAAATAAATAAAATCTTTAAAAAAAAAAAAATCCAGACTACTTGTCCTGGCATTTAAGGCTCTCTTGGATCTGATACTAAATTACCATCCAACATTTTATCCTAGCCTACTCACTGTTCTTTGACTAGATCAAGCTTTTAAAAAACACCAAACCTTCATACAAACTGATCTTTCTGTTTGCAATATTGTTTTGCTATTTTTACCTGGTGAATTCTACTATTTTCTCAAGTATCAATTTGATTGTTACTTTTTGGAAATCCCCAAGGTTCTCCAAGTAGAATCAACCCATTCCTCTTCTAGTCTCCCACAGCATCCCCATACATACTCCTACTACATCATTTTCTATACTGTACCATAATTTTTTAAAGATTTTATTTATTTATTTGACAGAGAGAAGCACATTCAGAGAGGGAACAGAAGCAGGGGGAGGGGCAGAGGGAGAAGGAGGCTTCCTGCTGAGTGGAGAGCCTGATACGGGGCTCCATCTCAGGACCCTGGGATCATGACCTGAGCTGGAGGCAGACGCTTAACCTACAAAGCCACCCAGGTGCCCCCGTACCATAATTTTTTAAATATCTGTTTCCGTGGCTATGTTATAAGCTTATCTAGAGAAGCAGCTGTCTCATTATTCATGCTTCTATTTCTAACACCTATTATAGTGCTTGGCACATAGTACGTGCTCAATAAATATTAAATTAATAAGATAATTTTGTCACTTAAGGTGCTTTTCAGGTTGGACTGTCACAGTGCAGGGCTTAGGAAACTTGGAAAGAAGGATACGAAAATGTGTCTGGGTGCATATTGTGAAAGGGAATGATGAAAACAGAAAAAGGAGATCAGAGTAAAAATTTATTTTATCTATTTCAAATTTTTGTCCATGCAAAGGAGGAGGAAACATCCTTTTCTGTACCAACTTTTAGAAACCAGAATTTAGGTCATAATTATACCTATCTACCATTTGTCACATTGTTTCTATAGGAAAACAGAATGTGAGTTCTGATTAAATGATTTACAAATGAATATTTGAAACCTATCTCATTGATTAACTGTGGCTCCCTGGCTTGTGCTTTAGCATCACCCAATTTCTGTACATTTTTTCTAATTATTGTATGGGTTTATATGTCTTAGTCTTTTTTTAAAGATTTCATTTATTTATTTGACAGAGAGAGATACAGCGAAAGAGGGAACTCAAGCAGGGGAGTGAGAGAGGGAGAAGCAGGCTCCCCATGGAGCAGGGAGCCCAGGACTCTGGGATCATGACCTGAGCCAAAGGCAGATGCTTAACAACTGAGCCACTGAGGTGCCCCTAGCCATTTACATTATAAGCCATTTGAGGGTAGGGACGGTTTTCTTTTGTATAACTCACATAGTATCTAGCACAGTATTCTGGATATGGAAAGCACTTACACAATCTCTAGACAATTTTTTTTTTTAACACTTGGATAAGAAGTTTGGCAGTTTCTTATCTTTTTTTTTTTAAGATTTATTTATTTAATTGAGAGAGAGAGAGAAAGAGAAGCACAAGCAGAAGGGAGCCAGGGAGAGGGAGAGAGAATCCCAAGGTTACTCCACATTGAGTGTGGAGCCAGATGTGGGGCTCAATCTCAGGACCCTGAAATCATAACCGGAGCTGAAACCATGTTGGTCTTTTAACTGACTGCGCCACCCAGGCACCCCTATCTCTAGACATTTCTCAGAGTGTTTTGTACACTGGGTACTGTGGGAAGGAAACAGTTAAAGAGCACGCAATCTATGTTTTCTAAACATTCACAGTCTATTTGGTGAGTTAAGCAGGAAGTAAAAAGTCAGTTCCCTCCCCCTATAACACAAAGTGGTCAAAAAAGCCTACCTGACATAAAGGGAAATGGGCACCATAGTGTTGAGAATAATGAAGTAGGACCAGAATGTGAGGATGGCAGAGACAACTGATGAAGACACATATTCTTCCCATGGTAGAAAATCCTGGAAGTAGTAGCCTTTTTTGTTTTCCCAAATGCCATGCCCAATTGCTAGGATAAAACACATGCCGCCTAAAAACAGGAAAATCTGAAAAATCAAAAAAAGAATTAACATTTTGTCTAAGACATATGCTGCTTCAGATCTACCTTTTGGAGACTTATCTCTCAACAAACTTCTCTCTCTTCTTGGAGGTGAGGGGGGCCCTATAGTTCATAGGCTCTAACCAGTACTACCCAGGACAGAAAAAAAAAGCCCAGCAGGAGGCATCTTTGGGACTTTGAAGGGAAATAAAAGTAACTAAAGTAGGGGAGCCTGGGTGGCTCAGTCGTTAAGCATCTGTCTTCAGCGCAGGTCATGATCCCAGGATCTGCTCCATGGGAAGCCTGCTTCTCCGTCTCCCACTCCCTTGCTTGTGTTCCCTCTCTCGCTGTGTCTCTCTCTGTCAAATAAATAAATAAAATCTTAAAAAAAGTAACTAAACTATATTAAACACTTATTAAGTATCAGCAACTGTGCTGAGTACTTTATGTATGTTATTTAATTTAATATTTATAAAACCTCTCTTTTAGTAATAGATAAGGAACTTGATATTAAAAACAGAAAAGTATTTTTCCTAAAGTCACTTTGCTGCTAACTAGCATGGAACCCAATGTGGGGATCAATCTCATGACCCTGAGATCATGACCTGAGCCAAAAACAAGAGTCAGCCGCTTAACTGACTGCACCACCCAGATGCCCCTAAAGATGATACCTTCCTACGCAAGATCATGGTTCCAAATTAGCTCAATCTGCCATCAGGTTGAGAGAGAAAAGGGTATAGAGGGACAAGGAAGCAAAAAAGACAAATTTGAGAATGATGTTTAGAAAAGAAGTTTGGGAAGAGGAGATAATCTTCCTGAACTCATTTTACAAGGCCAGCATTACCCTCGTACCAAAGCCAGATAAGGATACTACAAGAGAAAAAAACAATAAGCCAATATCCTTGATGAATATAGATGCAAAACTTCTCAACAAAATACTAGCAAACCAAATTCAACAACACATTTAAAGGATCAAACATTGTGATCAATTGGGATTTAGACACTAATGAAAGAAAGTGAAGATACAAATAAATGGAAAGATATTCTATGTTCATGGACTGGAACAATAAACATTGTTAAATTCTATACTACCCAAAGCTATCTATAGAGTCAGTGTAATGCCTATTAAGATTCCAATGTCATTTTTTCCCACAGATATAGAAAAACTAATCGTAAAATTTTGATAGAACCCTAAAAAACTGTGAATAGCCAAAGTAATCTTGAGAAAGAAAACTAAGCTAGACGCATCACATGTCCTCATTTCAAACTATATTACAAAGTATACTAATCAAATCAGTATGGGTGCCTCAGTTGGTTAAGCAGCTACCTTTGGCTCAGGTCATGATCCCAGTGTCCAGATTAACCCCCACATCGGGCTCTTTGCTCAGTGGGAAGCCTGCTTCTCCCCTGCCTGCCGCTATCCCTGCTTGTAGCTTGCTCTCCACCACCCCGCCGTGTCACGTAAATAAAAGCTTAAAACAAAAAACAAAAGCAACAGTATGATACTGGCATAAACACAGACATATACACCAATGGAACAGAGTCAAGAGTCCAGAAATAAACCCATGCACATAAGGCCAACTGATACTGGACAAGGGAGGCAAGAAAACTCAATGGAGAAAAGACAGACCCTTCATTAAATGGTGCTGGAAAAACTAGATAATCATATGTAAAAGAGTGAAACTGGACCCCTATCTTATACCTCTCACAAAAATTTACTCAAAATGGATTAAAGACTTAAATGTAAGACCTGAAACCATAAAATTCCTAGGAAAAAAGCCCAGAAAAAGCTCTCTGACAGCAGTCTGGCAATGATTTTATGGAGGTGACAACCAAAAGCACAAGCAACAAAAGCAAAAATGAGTAAGTGGATTACATCAAATTAAAGTCTTCTGCACAACAAAAGAAATAATTGACAAATAAAAAGGCAATCTATGGAGTGAAAGAAGATATTTGCAAATTGTGTATCTGATAAGAGGTTAATATCCAAAATACATATGGAAGTCATGCAACTCAACAGCAAATAGCAAAAAAGCAAATAATTCGATTAAATAAAGGGCAAAGGACCTAAATAGATAAGAGGTTTATTTTTAAATTAAATTTCGTTTAAGATTTTATTTATTTATTTGCAAGAGAGAAAGAATATGCACACACAAGTGAGGAGGGGTGAGGAGCAGAGGGAGGAGAAGCAGACTTCTTACTGAGCAGAGAGCTGTACATGGGGCTTCATCCCAGGACCCTGAGATCATGACCTGAGCTGAAGGTAGGCATTTAACCGACTGAGCCATCCAGGCACCCCAATAATAGGTTTCAAATATTTGTTTCATATTTAGATTTCAAATGCCCAAAAGGTATGTGAAAAGATACTCAACATCACTAATTATCAGGGAAATGCAAATCAAAACCACAATGAGATGTCACCTTAGAAATGCTATAATCAAAGAATGTTAGAATGGCTGTAATAAAAAAAAAAAAGAGATAACACGTACTAGGGGGGATGTACACTGTTGATGGGAATGTAAATTGGTACAGCCACATGAAAACAGTTTGGATGCTCCTGAGAAAATTAAAACTAGAACTACCATATGATCCAGTAATTCCACTTCTGAGTATATATCCAAAGGAAATTAAATCACTATCTTGAGGAGTTATCTGTACCCCCATGTTCACTGTGCCATTATTTACAAAAGCCGAGACATGGAAATCACCTAAGTGTCTACTGACAGATGAACAGATAAAGAAAATGTGTT